ACCCTAAGCCCTAAGCCCTAGACCTTATTTTTCAAAGCCGTTGAAGTCAACAAGGCCCCAAAATCTCGAGACTCCAGATCCTGGAATCCTACAGCCCTTGGCCCTGAAACCCTGAAGCCGAGAGCTCTAGCCCTGAACCCCAAGACACCCCAAAATCCTAAACCCTAAACCCTGAACCCTGAACCCTAAACCCTAACCCCTAAAGCCCAAGATCCCTAAGCCCGACTGCCGAATGCTGAAAGCCTCTTGCTTCGGGCATGTAGCTTCAAAGGTCCAGGGTTTAGGGTTTAGGGTTTAGGGCATGTAGCTTCAAAGGTCTAAACCCAAAGCCCTACGGGGTCTTAAATCCCTAAGCACCGAACCTCTAAGCCTTAAGCCCTAAACCCAAAGCTCTGAATCCCTAAACTCTGAACCCTGAGCCCTAAACCCTGAGGGGCTCTTGCGCCAGGCGGGTTTCATGATGCAAGGCCAGCAGATGCCTCCACAGGGAGGGCCTCCTGGAGGGCCCCCGCAGGCGGGATGGGGCCGGGCATGTAGGGTTCCTTTACAGGGGTTACTTTCGAGGCTCCTGCAAGGGGTTCCTTTAAGGCCTTAAGGGCTCCTTTAAAGGGTTCCTTTAAGGCTTGATGGGCTCCTTCAGGAGTTCCCTTAAAGGGCTCGCCTAAAGGGTTCATCTCAAGGGGTCCGGTCTCGCTCTCTCTTGGAGCTTCAGGGGGGGGGTATGAGAGCTCTATGCTAGAAGTGACGGGTTCCATAAGGGTTCTCTCGGCTTCCCCACCTAAATCCTAATTCCGAAACCCTAAGCCCTAAACCCTAAACCCTAAACCCTACACCCTAAACCCTAAACCCTAAACCCTAAACCCTACACCCTAAACCCTAAACCCGGTTTAGGGGTTTTATGAGGCTTTTCTGTGCGAAGAGGGTTGGCCCTGAGGTCTGACTCCTCAACCGGGGCTTGGGGCGGAGGGCCGAGGTTTCCATTCAGGGCTTAGGTCGGTTAAGGGTTTAGGGTTTAGGGTTTAGGGTTTAGGGTTTAGGGTTTAGGGTTTAGGGTTTAGGGTTTAGGGTCTAGAGTATGCGATTCTTTGTTTAGGGCTTGGGTTTAGGGCTTAGGCTTTAAGGTTAAGGGCTTAGGGTTTAGGATTTGGGGTTTAGGGCTTAAGGTCTAGGAGCTCAGTTGTTTGCGAAGAGTTTCGGAGACTCGAGTCCAGCATTGGGGTTGGTGAGACGAGGTTTCTCTGGAGTGTTATTGGGCATGTCGTAGTGTCAGGGTTCACAGTGAACCCGAACACCACGCCAAAGCCCTGAAGCTTTCAAAAAGATCTAAACCCCTCTGCCTACGGGTGCGGTGGCAAAGGCAACAAGTAGACCGACACCAGAATCGCACCAAGAGCATTCGCGAGAGCACACTTACAGGCGGAAAAAATTGCGACGCGAAGAACCCAGACAGATGAGCGAAAAGATATTGCTCAGAAATGTGCGACAAGGACACTACGATTGATGACGCCACCCCAAGCCCTTAAGCCAACCCCAAGCCAGAAACCCTTATGCCCAAAGCAGTTGGGTTGTGCAGAGCATGTTCGCCAGGGCGATGGGGGCCCAAACCCCATGATGCAGCAGGGAATGCCTCCCGGCAGGGATTCTGGGCTTTAGGAGTTTAGGTTTTAGAGTTTCGTATTTGGAGGTTTCAGAGCTGGGTTTGGGATGTGGGCTTAGAGTTGTTAGTTTCGGATTTGGGATGCAGGAATGGGGGTTTAGGGCAAGCACGGTCCCGGTGGAAAGGTGGTCATGTCGATGGGAGTTTGCTGTCCCCAAAGACTCCAATATCCCTTAATGAAGGACTATACCTTAAATTTATAGAAGGATCCCTAATTTAATATATTTTAGGGTATATTCCTTAATTAAGGGATATTAGGGATCC